GTATATAAGCACTTAAGTCACTTTTTATCTACAAATTTTGAGAAATTTAAAAGTATTATCTACTTATCAATTACTCATAATTTATATCGTTTCTAAACACCTCCCAAACGTGCTTTTATATGGAGATAAAAAATAAAAATAAAAAAGATTTTTACATTATTTAGAATATGCAGAGATACGCCATAATCAATTTAAAAAAACTCATCCATGTCTAATTTAAAATACCAAATACAAGGGTTCTTTAGGAATTTCCTCCACTCATTCCTCAATTATATATTGATGTATCCACATGAGTCAATTACATGTCAAATACATTAATGGCTTGACTAATCCATTCTCCAATGGATAAAACACGACATTAAGTTGAGTTACCGGAGAAAAATTGTAAGACACAAATGTGCATACTTAGCAGTCAAATGTACATAAATTGCCTACTAAAAACCCAGATTTTACAAAGTTAAAACAGTAGAGATGGTGTATCAAGAAAATAGTTTGAAATTAATTTGCAAAAAGATCTATAAGCTATGGACTAGTAGTACAGTCTTTCCTTTGTTTAAAGTATTTGATTAATAAGCTTTGTACTAGCACAGAAAGAGGATTACTACTTAGTTCTTCTTTAGAGTTGCATTAAGAATGGCAGAATCTGATTTGATAGTGTATCGCGTAAATATTTACGTTCAAATTCATGTTATTATTTGCTTATCCGAGTTTAAAAACTAGAAAAAGAAGTTCATTTTCACTTAGAACAGTCACACCGTCTACAAAAGTTTAAAAGAAGCCACTATTTATACTTATTTTCTTCTTTTCGTTGCACGGAACCTGTGGCCTTTAGTTTTTGGCTTCTTCGTTCACATATTTTCTTGCACTTTTTGCAATTTTTTAGATTATAATTGCTTAAGATTTTTAGAGGGTGTTTGGTATGGATTAAAATTAGATTTTTAGTAGATTTTGATAAAAGTTTTTGAAATGTGTGATTCAAAAGTTGTGGGACCCATGAAAGATGTGGTTAATATTGATTATTTGACTTTGACTTGGATTAAAATCAGATTTTAATTCAGACCAAACAGGGGCTTAATATTCTATTCAAATTGGTTTTACTTCTCTATGAGCCTTTTTTTTCATGTAGCATTATACCTGATAATTCCTAGAGCTTGGGAATCAAGTAACAAGAAACATGAAGAGGATAAGCTTTCATGTCTGGATTTTGGAAATTGTTCCTGGACACAAACATAGTAGATAGTAGTTTACCTGTAAAATAAGCAGATTAATTATATGTTTCACAAGATTTCAATGTTGCGTATTCCGCCTAGGGATGCATGTATCTTTCCATAGAAAAAGGAATACAGGGGCGACTAGATTTGTTTATGTTTTATTGCTAATTTATATTGGTCATAAAAGAATATTGTATTATGATGTGAATTTTGTCTATTGCTAACTTTAAGGATGTTTCTTATGCTTATTCTCTGTTTCCAGCTTCCTGTTGAAAAATGAGCTAGCTAGATTTCTCTGTATAGTTTTGTACCTTTCTTTCATTTTGTCTTTATTAATAGTTAATCAAAATGTTATCTAACTCTTCGACTATAACAGCTTCTGTCTATTTTGAATTGCTTTATACCAGAAAACATGGAGTCAATCACGTCTCCCCAGTGGCATTATCTACTGATATTGCTTTTCTTAATTGGGACTTGCAGATTTTCAGGCATCATATTTCTCTTTATTTGCATTCTTTTGTTATGTAGAGTTTCTTAGATATTGAAGCTAGTTGCCTTCTCGGGTTGCAGATTGCTATGACCCTTTGGATCCGATGGGGAATATTACCGTTACTTTTGACATACTCAAGTATACTCTTGATGGCTATGTGGTTAGTACTGCAACTGAAATTCTGTTTTATGTTTCGTGTTAAGAAGGAAAAGAGCAAAATCTCAGTCGTTATATTGTCCATTCTCGCCTAGTGCTGTGGGGCAACCATGCCCTTACTAAAGAAGTTTTTGATCTTGTAAGCAATCAGGTTTTGGTTTAGTAGTGATTCTAGAAATCGTCTCAGATTTTGCTTGTCTATATTTCTATATATGCACTTTCAAATATTTTCATACTTAGAACTTCTATAACAAAATCGCGTGTAATAAAATTCTCATCCGTTAATATGAATTGCTCTTGTAGGCAAGAGTAACAATTCAAAACTACTATCAGTATCGTCATATAGAGAAACCAGGTTGGAAACTTGGTTGGACGTGGACCAGAAATGAGGTCATTTGGTCAATGTCTGGTGCTTTTGCCATCAAACAAGGAAATTGTGCATCCTTCAAATACCAAATACCACATTCTTGTAGGAAAGATCCTGTAATAGTTGATCTGATGCCAGACGCATTGCCACAAAACAGATCGAACGGTTGCTGCCATGGTGGGGTCCTTGCTGCCTATGCTGTCAATCCTTCCCTGTCCAACACATCATTTGAGGTTACAGTTGGAAATTTGGAACAGAACACACCAGGGTACAAGCCTCTAAATCTTACTCTAAAGGGCCCAGGACCTGGTTATACTTGTGACCAGCTGGTGGACACAATTCCTACAGTTTCTTCCGTTATCGGGGGAAGAAGAGAAGAGCAAGTTTTAAGTAAGTACTTTATTGTCAAAAATTAACTTTAAAGAATAACGGAATATTTGCCTAGCTTGGTGAAAAGAAACAGTGATTATTGAGTTCCCAAGTGCTTGACCTTGAGTTACGGCCATTTCAAACCATTTATACGGTTTGGGAAGATTGATAAAAACCCTTCCGGATCCTAAACCAGTTTTTCGTCCAACTGAATAATATACTTGTCTAGTTTTAGACAAGGATACTACTAGGTTCTTGATCTTTGGATTAGGACCAGTCTAACAACATCCTAATTACGTTTTTTGTTTTTTGTTTTTGTTTTTTTCATTTTCAGGGACGTGGAAATCGACGTGCACATATTCAAGTTATTTGGCAAACAAAATGCCAGTTTGCTGTGCTTCACTCTCATCATTTTACAATCCTAAAGTCACATCGTGCCCTTCCTGCAGCTGTGGATGTAACGTTTCTGACCGGGTCCCAAAATCATGTATTAGGTTTGTTATTCTGTATCAAAAGCCAAAATTTAAAGAAAAATAAATGAGTTCCATCTTTAACCATTTAGCTTTTAGAGAGATGACTCGACAAGACAACTGTTTATGTGTATTTGTATATGTTGAACAGAGATGATTCAATTCCGTCAGATTCGCCAAATGTTGATATAGTTCAATGCACTGACCATATGTGTCCACTTCGGATTCACTGGCATATTAAGAACAATTACATGGATCATTGGAGAGTAAAACTGACAGTCTCGAATTACAACTATGAGAAAAATTACTCAGACTGGAATGTTTTGGTTCAACATCCTGGCTTCGGACAGCCTGCCTCTGTGTATAGCTTCAACAGCACAATGCTTCCAGCTATTGGTGTCCCAGGTACCCTAATCCTTGAGAAACTTATCTATGGAGTGTCAAACGGTCAATGTGAGCACGTTCGCTTGCTAGTATAAAGAAAGTTACTATGAAAATCACGTATGGCAAAATAACTAACTTAGAAGTAAGACATGGTCTACATGTTAAAAGGATAAAACAATGGACTAAAAAGACGGTACGTCATATTGAACATGATATGTTTGGTGAGATGAGATCTTGTTCATTAATCTATAAGTTTCAAAGGGTGAAAATATGCTAAATGATAAAAAAGGAGAAAAATGCATGACGTCCTGATTGAATACACTCGACTGGACAACAATGAACAAACATGGTCAAATACTGAATATTTGAATATGGATATCGTTTTGTTTTGCAGAAGAAGTTGCCCTTTTCTGGGGGAAGCCCTTCTACAACACTGAACTTTTGCAAGCTGATAAAGATCAATTGGGTTCTGTGACTACAGAAATACTTTTGCAAAAAGATTCAGAATCATTTACACTGAACAATGGATGGGCTTTTCCAAGAACAATATATTTCAATGGTGAAAATTGCCAAATGCCACTACCAGACACCTTCCCCATGCTACCAAATGGCAGCACTGCTTTACATAGCCAGTTTCTTCTTCATCTAATTGCAGTCTATTTGACGTACAGGATATTTGTTGGATTTTGATGCTTTTATGGCCTGCATCTAATTGCAGTCAGTTTCTAATTTCAGAAATAATATAATTTTTTTGAAACTAATGATTGCTTGAGCATAATCATGTGTAAATGTATATATGCAATCCCTTATTGAAGTTCTGAATTTCTATTTGTGGAAGATATGAAGAATATTTCTTGAGAATAGTCGAGTGTTTATGTTCAAATTTTGGAAATTCCAATGTGGAGCCTATGAATCAGACCTGCACTTAAATGGCCTATTAAAAAAGTTGCTTCGGTTTTCCATTTTCAGTTCTGGTGTTAAATTGTTTCAGCACGACGCGGTGTAAAGGGTACATAGATAGTGAATCGAGCACTAAAAACTGACAGAAGCTCTCGAAGATTAATAATAATCTTGATCAGCAATCCTGATACTATAAAATGTTTCATCAGATAATTTTATGGTATGACAATCTATCTGAAGTTTTTGAAGACCCTTTTCTTGTAATTATCTCGTACTTTTTAATAATCTGGATCAATCTTGAATACTATAATCTTTGAGCTACTGAACGTGAAATTAAATGGAAAGAGAAGGATTATTATGCATATCAAGAACAGTAACGGACAGACAAAATAGGAAGAAAAAAAAACATTATAGGACGTACAGAGACAAGGTACACAACCATAACAAAGGTAAATACAAGACTCCATATAACAGTCCATAAATATGTACTCTTTCCTCCAATTTTATCTGATGATATGCATCAAATTAAATGGAAAGAGAAGGATTATTATGCATATCAAGAACAGTAACGGACAGACAAAATAGGAAGAAAAAAAAACATTATAGGACGTACAGAGACAAGGTACACAACCATAACAAAGGTAAATACAAGACTCCATATAACAGTCCATAAATATATACTCTTTCCTCCAATTTTATCTGATGATATGCATCAAAATGATAAAAGAGGTTGTGATAACTTAATTAAGGGCATTTGTGTCTATTGCCGTGAGTGGTCAAGTTGGCATAGCAAGGGCAGGCCTTGTAGTTGCCGGAAGTGCCCGGAGGCACTCGGTTGCACCTTGCGCAGCACGTCCCTCGAGCCTTCTTGCAAATATTTTTCCTTGAGGATAATTGTCACCTTTACACCACAAGCCCCACCACAATCTATACACTACAACAATAAAAGTAATCTTGGCTCCCTTAATTTTTGAATAAGTTGTAACTTTTGGGTTTTTTTTTTGGTCGCTATGTTAGAAATTATAAATTGATGGTTCCATTAAAATTGTATATGAGCTCGTTTCATGAATTATTCTTCTGGTGATGTCTATTCAATTGATTATTAGAAGAGATGTCCAATCAAAGTTACATCATAAAATGCAACAAATTTTATGATTGACAAGAGGCTATTTAAGTGTCTGTATGGGAGAAATTCTCAAACCAATTAAAATCCATTTTTTGGTCGTTACCCAGCAGAGCAACAGTTATATTTGACTTCTCCTCTCTAATGTGGTCCCCACATGTTGACTGTAACAGCCACTTTGTTACTTGGCAACAGCTGGAATTGTAATTTTAATTGCAACCAGACACACCCTAAATGTTCTGTCTTAAGTTTTATGTACCATACTTTTCGGTATTAATAAATTTTCCATACTCATGCTTCTTGCCAAAAAAATAAAAATAAAAAAATCATCTAGTTTGTTGGTGTGAACGAGTAATATTTTGTAGACTCAGCCATATGGAATTAAAAAGACATAATTAACATATAAGAATATGTTTGATGTAGATTTTTTAAGAATAAATTTTGTAAAAAAAATGATTTTTTTGAAGAACATATATGAGTTCACGTGCAAAATTGAAGAATGCACGTAGAAATTTAATTTAAGAAAAAAAGAGCTTTAAAATACGTCTACCAAACAGGCGTAAAATATTGTTGGTTGGCACAGATGGTCAAATGCTTCATCTTTAAATTTGGGACTGGAAACAAGAATCTAATTCTACAGCCACGAGTTGGTAGCTTAATTTTGAGTCTTTCTCCTATTGCTATATATTTTTGCTGATTTGAACCCTTCTCCACTAATCGCCTCTACTTTTATCAAGAAAGAATGATTTGCACTTTTATGATTATTATTATACAATAGCTAAAGATTGGACAAACATAAGATACCAACAGATCGGTCAAATACTTTAATATAGAAGAGGATAACTTTTTTTTATTTATTTTCTTTTTTGAAAGACTTTTTTATGAGTTAAAGCGATCAATAATCGAATTTAAATTTTTTTGGTTTGAAAGGCCTACTTTAAACACCATACCGTTGAAAAAGAGAAGGAATTCTTCAATTTGTCACCTTTACCATTACCCGCAGTGTTCCCACCCCTCCCTTCTATGGATAAACGTATTTATCTATAGAAGAAGGGGTGTCGGGGGGGAGAGTTGGTGGAAAAGGGGTGCGGTTCACACAAATTATTAGTATATAATACTAATTTATTTTGTTATTAACGTTTAGTTCATGTTTCATCTTATTTTTTATTAAATTCATTTTCAATTATACATTCTGTAAATAAAATAATTTTGCATGTGAATCCAATTTTTTCCTAAATTCTCATTTTCAGCCACACATTCTTCAATAAAATAATATTTTCCATCACATCAATAATTTTTTCTTCTTTTTCAACCACACATTTCCCATCATATCACTATTCAAAATCAATTCTTCTCCCAAAAATCTCTCCCAAACAAATTCTAAGAATATTTCTTGGTATATTAGATTAAAGAGAAGTATCTTCAACAGTGCTGGTTCGAGATTCTTTATAAGTGGCTGAAATTATAAATTGATAAAAAATGACTTATAGACAAGTGAATACTATTTGTGGATTTTGTAAAAATATGTAGTTGAAATTTCGAGTTTGACGAATTTAAATATAAGCTAAGAAAATCCAAATGTGCCATAGTTTTTTGCTTCAATGTGCATGATGGCCATTATTACACGAGACCTCTTGACACATCATCATCAAGTCACCAAACTTGAGTCACCTGCAAACTCGAGGTCGACTCTCTCTCAAACATCAACCTCAACCAATTATCAGACAATGGAGACGAGCTACTTCCAACAACATCATTATATGCCCCGTTTGGCCCTTATTATTTGAAATTTTAATGGTTGTAATATTATTTTCTTAAAAAAATATATATTGTTAAAAAAAAAAGAAATTATTTTGGGATTACGTGTAATATTATTTAATTGAATAATGTGATGTTAATAAGAAAAGAGAAAATTGAGTTATAATTTTAATGTGGGTCGAAATTATTTTGATTTATAGTTTTTAAAATATCGTGTTTTTATTTATTTTTCTATTGTATTTTAAAAGATAAATATAAAATTGTATTTTTAACAAAATTCTCGTTGATTAACTAAAGTCAAAATTTTAGACTTTTAGTGTTATTGAAGTGTAAAGTTGATAACGGAAATGCTCATCTTTATAGGTTAATGACCAAAGTGCTATACGAGTCCAAAGTTGGAGACTCTCTTGCTGCTATTTTGGTTTTGATTTTTAGCCCCTATTTGGTGTAGGGTTTAAAATTAAATTTTTTTTGTAAAAATTAATGAAATGCATTAGATGAAAGATCATGAAATATATGATTAAAATTAATTATTTATTTTTAGTTATATTAAAATTTTAATTTTAATTTCTATGAAACGGGTAAGCAGTTAAAGAGCAAAAAAAAACAAGCAACGCGAGCGGATTGGTAAACGTCTGGCCCACCCGGGCACGACGTCCCACGTTAAAACCCTAAACCCTGTCGCTGTAGTCTTCCTCAAACCACTGAGTTTGCCAACAATGGCGGATTACAACTCGACCCTAGAATCTGCGTCCACGAACAAGATGAAGAACGAAAAGAAGAAAAGAAAGCAAACAAGTATCGAAATTAATGAACTAGAAAAAGAAGCGCAAGAATATAGTGGAGGTCCTTCGAAAATTCCTCGCATCGACGAGTCCGAGAGAGAAATCATAGAAACAAACACGAAACTCGAAGAAGATTCTCCATGGAGGAATCTGCAGCTGATTTTATTCCTCCAGAACAAAAACATCGACCTTCTAAAGTACGTAATACGTGTTTGCGGTAATTGCTGTATTTATTTTTATTTATTTTTTTGGATCTTTCTTGTTGTATATATGGTCAAAATAAGTCTAGAATTGAGGTGGAAGTTAATTATTGAGGTATAGGCTCGACTTCGGAGAGATTTTGGAAAACGATATGGAGGGAACAAATGTGTTTTTGAAGGTGTAAGGTGAAATATTTTTTATTTATTAAAATTGGCATCTTGCTTGCAGGACAATCTGGAATTTGAGCTGAAAATTTTGCTTCCCCGAACAAAATTGGACTTGCTCTTCCTGTTTTGATTTTTCACATTTAGTTTTTGGAAATTAAGTTTTTGTAAGATATATGTTTTGTTTCTCCCCATCAAATTGTTTAATGTTTTTACTTGCTTTTGTTTGTGAATATTTTCTTTTTGGGTATTTAATCCGTGTTTGATAGAAAAAGACTCTATGATACAGGAAGGTTGATTTGGCATTCAGTTATGTGAATTCGATAGCTAATGAAGCAGCGGATGATATTGGTCAACGCCCTGAGATGATTAATACTTATAGAGTGTTAGTTTTTCTGAACAACTGGGTACAATCAGTCTTGATTTCATCGGAGAAGAAAATGAGGCATGGAGATAACAAAGCTGAGTATGAATTTTCTTCAGCATTGTGTTTGGATATCAGAGGCTGGAAAATTTTACAATTCTGTTTGGAGAAGTCACAGAACCTACACGTCTCATTGACCTTTTCTAGAGACTTGTTACGGGTTATTTATTGCATAGCAAGGGATATATTATCTCATATAGATAATGTAACCTCATGTTGCGAGTTGGCACTTTCGTGTGAGCAATTGGAATTATATGACACTGTGCTCAATTGTATCTCATCAATCTTCTCATCCCATGGTGGAGTTTCAAATGAAAATTTGGATCTGTGGATTTTCGTCTTAAAAGCGGTGCTAGAACTCGCCTTAAGGCTTGTTAAAGACAAGCTTGATAGTTGCAAGGCAGGAAACTTATTCATGCAATTACCTTGTAGCCTACTGGAGCCATTTGCGAAGTTCTTGAGGGTCCATCCTACACGCAAAAGTGGTTTTCGTGATTTCATAGATCAACTTCTGGAGCCTCTGTTGCACTTGTTGGTTGTGCTACATTCTGATTTTTGTGGCAGGAATTCTGAATGCAGAAGAAATCTGTCTAAATTGGCTGAAGAAGTGTTAGCTCAGGGGATCTTCCACCCAGCTCACGTCGATGGGTTCCTATGTTTACAAAGTACTGGTAGATATAAAAGTTCCTTTGATGGTACATTAAGTGAGGAAAAATTGGTCAACAAAAGTTATCACAGACACCTGTTTGATAAACTGGAGAAGATTGTAGCAAATAAGAATGAATATGCATTAGGCGGCCTAGGACAGCTGCTTCACTTGTTTGTTAGTTCGGTCACTAAGCAAAAGGGAACTTCAGTCGGCAGAGGAGGTTCTGGGGGCTCGGAAATCAGTTCAACCAATAATGTGCCTGAAAATTTTTCCCTAACCAGAATGGTTAATTCAGAAAACAGGCCCAGCTCTAATGGTGTGGACGCTGAAATACGGAAGTCAGTTTTTGAATTTTTTGTACACATCATGGAACCTCTAATAACAGAAATTAATAAATATCTTCATGTTGATGGGGAACTTGGATCTATGTTAATGGATGTTTCGTGCATGCTAAGAGCCATTAATAATTTGCTTGCCTGCATTGTTCATGAAAAGGTGTATGTAAGAACAGAAGACAACTCTGAAGGGGCTTCCTTTATGTTTCTGAGGTTACTTTATGATTTGTTGGTGTCATTTTCTGCCAAAATTAATGATGTAACGGCATCATCTTTTGGCTCAGAGAAAATTTTACACAGAGAAGTCTTGATTTCAACAAGAAGGGAGATTATTGCGTCTGTACATCATTTATTAGATATCGAGTACAAAGTTGTCGATGATGATCTTGAGAGCTTGTGGACTATGATTTTTTCCTCTGTAGCCTGTAGCAATAGTTCAATAGATGTGCTGGATCAGTCTGTGTTGTCTTCAGAGATTCTGAGTCTTGGTTGCAGGCTGGTTGATCTTTACAGTGAACTTCGGCAGGTTAGTGAGCATTTTATGCATATTACTGGCTGTCAACTTGGCCGGCCCAAAGCGTGTTCGTTTGTCCCAATTTTATTAGGAAAGCGAGCTAGGAATATCACTTGGCTAAATATGGGCCAATCTAGACCTGATATAAATGCAGGCCAACCTCGGCCTTATAGGTTCAACTAATTTGGTCCTGCTCATTTAAATAATGTTAAATGACCTATTTTCAAATATATCTTCTACATATCATTTTTGCCTATTTGGGAGAATTAACATCTTGCTGCTCGTTTTCTGAAATTTTTGGTTTCAACTGTATCTTCTATTTGGATAAAAGATGTCAATCATAAAAAAAATTATCTGTGCTTCTTGGAAAATAAGCAAAATAGAAGTTGGAAGCAATTTTCTTTGCCTTTGATATTTTTTTTATTGCATTTTGTCTTGGTTTCTATGAGTAGTGTTTATTTTGGAGTCAAAATCCTGATTTTGTTTATTGAATTAGTGCAGGTGAATAGTTCTATATTTGCACTTTGTAGAGCAGTTCGGCATTTTGTATCACTTCTTGGGGACAATAAAGCACGTACAAGTTCACATGCTTATTCTTCCTACCCAAATTCTTTGAGCATGATGTTATGTTCTCCAGAATTTAGGCTCTCCCTTAGCAACGCTATTGAGTCCATACCAGAAGGGCAAGCAAGTGGATGTATTCAGCAGTTGAGTTCAGATATTATGGAATCGCTGCAGTGGATGAAAGTTGACTGTCAGCTGGACAGTGGAGATGAACTTATGAAGTCAAGTCCAAGTAGTTATGACTCGCTGCACTTCAAACTGCAAGCAGAACTCATAGGGAGGGCTTTGTCTGAAGTATATAGCATAATTGTAGACTCAATAACAGTCAGTTCTGGCAATAGTTATCTGGTTGGTGTTTCTGTGAAAAATTTGATAGAACATTGTCGCCCAAGTTTGAGTTGCCTAGTTTCGTTACAACCAGATAATATTAAGGAATTCTCCAATTTATTTAATAGAAGAACTTCAAAGAAGAGAGATGGGTGTGAGAACATATCCATGTGTTGGATTCTAGTGTTCTACTTCCGTTTGTATTTGTCCTGCAGAAGCTTATTACGACAAGCAATCAGCTGTATGCCTCCTGATGCATCAAAAAAGATGTCAGGAGAAATAGGTGATTCATTTTTATCTCACACTGGAAGGGATTGGTTGGAGGCAACTGGTTCTGTTGGTGAAGGCTATTTTTCTTGGATTCTTCGGCCTTCTGCTCCTCTTCTTAATGTCATACATTCTATTTTAGATGTTTATCTTCGAGGCACTGGTGTAGTTTGTCCACCTCTGGTCTATGTGTTAAATGCCATGGCTTTTCAGAGACTTACCGATTTGAATAGGCTGATAAAATCCTCAAAATATATGCTTCTGTGGAATAGAACTCGGGGTCAGCAACAATTGAAGGATGGAGCTCAGATCTCTTCATACAGTAAGAAAATTAAAAGATGGAAAAGGAGTCTCTCAGATTTCAGGGAGGAAGCGAGAGGTCTGACCAAAATCATGATGGAATTTCTCTTGTCAATGGCTAAGGTCCATTTACCTGCTTTCTCATTTGATGATGGAATCCATGGGGACATATGGATCCAAACTCTGCTTAAAAGTGACACACAGAGTTTTGCTATAGGCTTCATAGACAAAAAGTTATTGCCATCTACACTGTTGTGGAGCTTTTGCAGAACGGTTGATATTTGGTGCTCTCATGCTGCCAAGAAGGATTTGAAGAAGTTTCTTGCACTTCTAATCCAGGCATACCTTTCCTGTGTTACTGATCATGAAAGCAACTCGCGAAAGTGTAACATTGACAAGCCTGGCCACCTGAAGAAAGCCACTGCACATCACATTGCGCTGGAGTTTCTAAGCAACACAATTTCATATGAACAAAGTGTAAGATAGCCTTTTGAATCATTTCATTTTCTTATCAATTGTTACACCCTTTATCCTCTCTATTTCTGTCCTAAATATTTCCTTCCTTCTTGGACATGGGCTCAACAAATGCATATGCGTCATTCGTATAGCTTCTTATAATTTATGTCATATTACTCATGTTAATACTACATGCATACACACTTATATACAATGACTATCCTATATGCATATAAGATGATGGAAGGTTACCACTAAAATAAATTGGGGAAATTGATCTCTCATCTAAAATTTATATTGTTTCAAGCTCGATAGGAGCGATCAAATGTTTCAGGGGAAGATGCATATAAGAAATTCAGTTCTAACCTACTAGTTCATGGCTATCATAGCGCAGAGGAAGTTACAAAAAAATTACTCCTTCGGAAGTGGCTAGATGGAATGAAGAGTGAGAGGCTGAACAGAGTTAACTTGGGTCTTATTTGTTCTTCATCTATTCCAAAAACAATTCAGTTGTTAGTCTTAAATCATATATCTAAATCGATCTTTTAAATGCTTGACATTTGGAAATTCAAGTCTTATAGAATAATTTACTTCATGTGAAGAGAGGATCCACATTGGACTTCTACTTAACTGCTCATTATTTTATGTCCTCTCCTGTGGGCCAGTGGGGGCAAACTCAGGCATTTTACAAATTATCTACATTCTGTAATCTTTTTGGGGCTAAGTGTGGCCAATGGGCGATTGTTCCCACTGCTTGGCCCCATACTGTAAATCTGCCCCTGATACTGGTTCCTACTTGTGTTACATATTCTCTTCCACTCTTCACTCCTCTTATACCCTTAGTTTGTACATTCACTTTGCGGCTTGCCATGTCATTGTTGAACTGGGATTATGAAGGACTCGTGTTTCGTGTTATGTTCTCACAGTCTACCATCGTAGTTTGTCCGCAGGTATATGGCATCCAGGTATTGCCAGATCTTGCAGAAGTCAGCATCGTCTTTATTTGCTACTACTGAAGTTGATCTAAGTTCATCACCTGATTGGATAGAGGTTATACGTGCAGTTGAAAATTCATCCAATGTGCAGAATGGTGATTCATTGTGGACAGGACTAAGTAGGGATCCTGCTGAAAAAGGAACTAATATTGAGTTCGCAAAATGCCGGTGTTTGCTCAACCTTTTAAATTGGATGCCAAAAGAATATATAAGTTCGAGATCCACATCATTGTACATTACTTGCATTCTGAACCTTGAGAGGTATTTTATTGCCATAAATGTTCTTGTCTTCATTTTCTAACTTGCAGAATGGCATGATGCTTGTTGTGTATCGATGTTTTCTCTGGCATTTGCATGACTTCTTTGTTTCTAGAAGTGAAAGTTAGGTCTTTTGAAATATTGACTTTTAACTTGCAAGAAGCTGAAATTTTGGTTTGATTGCCAGAAAAATTCTGATGATGTCATATTGAGACATTGTCCGCATTAATGTTTGTTAAGATTTGGGGGTCCATCTTAAAAGGTCAACCTTCTTAAGAGGAGTAGCCCAAGATCTTTATTAATTGGTCTGTGTCAACATCTTTATTCGATGTGGGATTATATCCCTGGGTTCGATGTGGGATTATATCCCTTAACAATATTTTAGGTTTTTATTTTTTCCTCTCTCTCTCTTAGGAGAGAGAGGGGTAGTGGGGAGTTGGGATCTTTAATGATGAAACCCATTAGATTATTAGACTTTAAATTTGAGTATTATTTTTGCTGAATAAAGTAACTTTATGCTCAGTGTTATGTTAAAGATCTTCTCGAATTTGCAGAGGGGGTGGAAAAATTACAATGTATAAACACTGGAAATAGGGAAAGGTACGGAGACTCTGTAATTTCAGACCTTACAGTTCATGTTCAAATGGTCAAAACTATTTCTCCTTGCTTTTCCATTATATCCACACTAAACAATTGCAATGAAGGCCAACATTATCTTCTAAAGTGTCTGAAATCTTGCATTCTTATTGGGGTAAAGTAAGCAAATGTCAATGTCACACTAGATGTAACTTTGTCATTTGAAATCAAGCTCAAATGATGGGTGGATCTGAATTTTAGTACCTCATTATTATATTAGAGCTAGAGATTAGGCCTCAGCTTTATCATGGAGGTTTCAGATATAGAGATGTGCTGAGACTTGATCCCTTTACACCAATTGACTGTCAACTTGGACACCACAGTTAGGATATGACATCATACATGGTTAATCTCTCAAGTCTCAATTATAGTTTTCTGCTAAGTGTGCTCCTCTTGAGTTCTTGATGCAAGTTTCACAGTTTAAATTGAACCTGTACATTTCAGGCTTCTGGTTGGCAGCTTGTTAGGCTGGCATGGTTTTTTGTGCTCCTGCGATGCTCTTGAGATCCTCAGATTGTTTGTATCCTGTCGAAGGGTTCTTAAGAATATAATCATGGCATCTTGTGAAGAGAATATGGAAGGTCGTCAATCTTCAATTGCTAGCAAATTCTCAGAGGGCTCGTTTCCTCTGTTTTGGCTTTCTAAGTCATTGTCAGCAGTCATGGGGTTTCGACATGGTTTTCCAGAAGACATTGCTTTTGAAGCAAAAAATGCATTTTTTTCATTAATGGATCACACATCTTATGTGTTTTTGACAGTGAGTAAAGATCATTACTCTCTTGTTACTTCTAGGAAGCTTTGTACAGTTAAGAAAAGCTCAGATGGTGGCCATGAGTTGTACGATCAGAAGGCACACAACAATCTCCAGTTGGATCCCCCTCTTAATGTAGATGCATGGAGAAGTGTTGTGCAGGTAGCTGAGACATTAAAAGAACAAATGCAAATCTCACTTGCCACTTTCAACAAAGCGTTACTTGACAAGAAAGTAGGGATTTCACCGAACTTTCTTGCGTTGAATAAGTTATCTTCTATGCTTTCTTGCTTTCAAGGCTTTCTGCTGGGCGCATCTTCTGCATTGGGAAATGTATATGCAAGCAATAATAACGTTAGAACAAAATTATCAACTTCCAAAGCTGAAAGTGTTAAAAAGGTTAAATCATGTGTTGATACATGCCAAAATTTCATATCTTTTTATCTCAAGGCCTTGTTTGTCGAGGATGATCAGCTTCCCGGAGTCTTGTCAGAAGAAAAAGCTGTCAGCACTTTGCAATGTGGTGGTGATTTGTTGGGAGCAAGAGAGGCCTCATATGATGTTTATGATGACGACAATGATGCTACAGATGAGGAAGAGATGCACCCTGCTGGGAAAAAGACAGCTTCTGGCACAAAGAAGGATGTTAAAAACCGTGATCTTAAGAGAAAAACCCATTCAGCAATCAAAGATCTTGAGGCCTTCTTCACAAAAGTTCAAAATGAGCAACTATGTCTAAAGAAATCTTTATTACTGGAATTTTTCAGAGGTGAAAATATTGAAGCAGCTTTCTTTCTCAGACAGCTTTTCATTGCTTCTTCAGCTATTCTAAGACTAAATTTACAGATTGACCTTATTTCTAGTTCTTGGAGCTCGATTCCTATTTTTATTGGCATTTCTCAAGTTTTGCTCTTGGAATTTTCAAGCGAGACTGGGATGCCACATCCCTTTTCTTTTGTTTGTTTAGATGGTGTTGTGAAATTTCTTGAAGAGTTAGGTATTTATTTTCCACAACTAGAACCTTCATTGTCCAGAAATTTGTATGTCAAGCTAGTAGATTTACACTTAAGGGCCATAGGAAAATGCATCTCTTTACAAGGGAAGAAGGCCATAATAGCTTCCCAAGATACAGGATTGCATACCAAGATGTTACCTAATCAGATGGAATCTTCTGAGTCTAGCTTTTCTTATGAAACATATCAATTAGAAGAATTTAAAGTGAAGTTGAGGATGTCATTCAGATCATATATCAGGAGACCATCAGAGTTACATTTTTTATCTGCAATTCAGGCTGTGGAGAGAGCTATAGTTGGAGTACAGGAAGGCTGCCAGACTAACTATGAAATTTGTTTGGGGAGTTTAGATGGAGGAAAGGTATCTTCTATTGTGGCTGCTGGTATTGATTGCTTAGAATTGATTCTCGAATTTGTATCAGGTAATCAATTTCATCAATCTACAAGGTTATGATCTAATAGCATGAGACATTATCTATGTTGGGATTTTTGTATCTTGTAAATTGTTTCCATTTTTTCTGAAGAAATTGAGATAGTATTAATAGACAACCATTGTGATTTTCACTCTTAGCTTATCCTACAAAATGCTGTTCCCAGCTTTATTAGATTCTACAGCCTCATGAAAAATGGCCCTTTTTCTGATCTTGCATGTTCACCTCAGCTTCTCAATGACTGATTCTGGAAAGAACTTTGATGCCTTTGTTATCATAAATAATTTTAAAGCCAATAGAAGAATCATACCCTAAGAAGATTAAAAGTGCAATTTCTTGCTTCATGTAAATAGGTTTGGTTGGTCATTTTTATTCTTTGCAGTCTACGTATCATTTTTTCAGTTTGGCTATAGTTAATTTTTTTATCTTTATGTTCCTTCTGATATCCAGTTGACAACAGACCTTTCTACTGATGGATCAAAAAATTGAGACGGCTGTATGATATTTCATTTTTTGTTTTCTGGACTGTTTTTACTTTATAATATGTAAATTTCTTGGGTGCAGTGATGTAGTTGGAAAGTTTTAGTTGAATAGCATTTTTCATTTTGTGTTCTTTGCAGGACATAATTGTCTTAACATGGTCAGAAGACACATTCAGAGCTTAGTTGCATGTCTTTTCAATGTCATCGTGCATTTGCAGGGTCCCAAAATCTTCTATGGATATGTTGATTCCACCAAGGATTATGAGAATCCTGATGCTGGCTCTGTAATTCTCATGTCCATTGAAGTACTTACGAGAATTTCTGGGAAACAGTCTTTGTTCCATTTAGATGCCAGCCATATAGCGCAGTCCCTGCGTATACCCGGAGCACTCTTTCAAAATCTTCTCCACCTCCCAATCTTCGAAAATGCTGTAGGGCGGAAATTTTCTGTGGAGCTATACAATGCATGTTGCCGTCTGTTATGTACTGTTCTTAAGCATCACAAACGGTATGCTGCATTTTCATTTGCCTTTTGGCTATTGCATACTTCAGTTGCAATTTGTGTAGTGTGTTCTAAACCAATGTTCTCTTTTCCACCCTTGTTCCCATCTAGAAAAGCTTGTGGTCTCTCTCTCTATACATTAATTTTTCTCTTGTGATCTTTGTATTCGTAGAGAGACTCAACAGTGTGTAGCTCTTCTTGAAGATTCAGTTAGTGTTCTGCTTCATTGCTTGGAAATTGTAAACATTGATTCAGTTGCTAGAAAAGATTATTTTGCATGGGAACTTCAAGAGGCAGTAACGTGTGCCAGTAGTCTACGAAGAGTTTATGAAGAGGTGTGTCTTTATTTAAATGTCACCAGCGTGTTATCATACTTTACTTGTTTTGAGATACGTTTCATAACTAAAACAATACATCTCTTCTTGCAATTGTACAATTTGATATTTCTGTACTTGCCGCACTATATTCTGCCCATGCAGGAGTAGGTTTTTTGACTTGGAAAGATTTTTAGCTTGCGTGATATGATGAGATTTTTTTCGTACCTTTAAGGTACACTTGCCTTACAGTGAGAACCCTCTTTTCTTTTCTTTTCTTTCTTTTACACAGGTAAGGCAGCAGAAGGATGTCTTTGGTCACAGTTTGTTTCAGTTTTTATCTCGTTACATATGGGTTTATTGTGCATTGGGCCCATCAAGGAATGGCATCAGAAGGTCGTTTTCAGTGTCTTATCTTGACTTTGATTTGCCTATGATATCAATTTTTATCTTTTAATTCCACATAAGATCTCTTACAATAACTCTGATGGATTCTCAAAATTTTTCAGGGAAATAGATGAAGCTTTGAGACCTGGTGTTTATGCTTTAATAGACTCATGTTCGACAGATGACCTTCAACTTCTTCATACCTTATTTGGAGGTAGGCAATCTGAATTTAGTTTGAACATGTGAGTAGTAAAAAAAAAGTTTCTCGTTTCTAAGTATTTCTTTCTTTTTTTCATTTCCCCACAACTCTATTGGGGTTATATAGAGGGTCCTTGCAGAAGCATTCTGGCCAGTTTGCAACATGATTACAAACTTCATTTCCAATTTGAAGGGAAAGTTTGATGCGCACTCTGTGAAACTTGAAATCTAACGGAATATCCTTTGGTCGAGGCCCTTAGAGAAAACAGTGGATTCTAATGGTGGCACCACTGGTCTTGCTATTTGCCTCATGGTGGCTGTTAACCATTGACAATCCAGGATGGTTCTTTAGGGGCAGCGGTAGGTGGAGGACACTACCGACTGTCCACGGCAAGCTCTCCGTGGGGCAGGGTAGGGTTATTTTGTTACATATCTTGTTGCAGTACTACTATATATTTTCATCAGGTTACGGTATTATGTTGTTGTTCGACATATCTTAAATTTTGTATCTATTGAGAAATAATTAATGCATATTAACCTTCCTTCAGTAAGTGTGTAGCCTCAATTAATTTTCTAGAATTTTTTATCAACATTCAAGTATTTGAGGGCGTTCTCCACTTCTATTGCATCACTAGTTTTCCTCTGTAAAATTTACTCTGATTACTTCCCGACTCAGAAAGAAGTATTAGTAAAGTGCTGTCCTATTGACATGCATGGAATTAGTTGTCCCAATAATTAAACTTATGCTTGTGTTTTTTATTGTTCATTAAAGTTTAAAATATGAGTTTGGCTACTTTTATTCAAACATTGGACGTTATTCACTGACATAACATTTGTTTCAAACTTCTAATGGAATTGGTGTCCTGGCTTAACGGAATGCATAGGTGGTATCCCGTCATGTCGTTATCAATTTGTCATGTAGAAAGCATGTTTTATTGCTTACTAAACTTTGGAAAACATCTTTGATTGCTCGATGTACTTTTGAAAAATTTATTTGATTACTCACTGAACTTTGAGATTATCGTATTTTGGTCACTAAAATTATAAAAATGACATTGGCCAGTTGTTCTCTAGAAAATGTGTACCATAAGTGCACATATCGGGTACAAGTAATAAAGTGAACAAACAAGTCCGCATTGTCAATTTCGGGTACAAGTAATAAAGTGAACAAACAAGTCTGCATTGTCAATTTCACGAAGAATGATTACTCAATTATAAAATAATTAAATTTAATTTTAACAACGAAACACAAATAGCTTAAAATTCTACAAAAATTTGTAGAATTTTAATCTATTTTCGTCATTTGCAAAATTCAAATTTATTGTGTGTTTCGTTATTGAAATTAAATTTAGTGTAAGTGAGTAATCATTCATCATGGGATCTACAACTCGGACTCGTTTGTCCATTTTATTACTTGTAGTAATATGTGCGCCTGCGATACACATTTTTTAGCGAACAACAGGTGTATGTCATTTTTATAAGTTTAGTGATAAAAAAATCAACAATTTTAAAGTTCAATGAGCAATTGAAGACATTTACGCGGCAAATTGGTAACGGCGTCATGGGACGCCACATTTGCTTTTTGTTAGTTATGTCACCAATTTCGTTAAAAGCTTAAAACGAATGTTATGCCACTTAGTAACATCCAATGTTTATATAAGTTTAACAGCCAAAACTCTATATTTTAAATTTCGGTGAGCAATTAAAGATATCAACATAAGTTCAGTCATTATTGAGACAATTAACTCACATGTTATCAATAGGAAAAATATAATTTATTCAAAATAATAAGTTAGCTCAAATAATTCGACTATATATATATATAACACCAAGATAGAATCATTTTTTGGTCAATGACAACATTACTAATTGTTTCAATAATATCTTACTTTCTATTTTTCAATATGTATTTAATTTACAAACTGTAATAAATATTACAAAATCATTGTCCATGCATGTATTCCTTATTATTAATTCTTAATTAATTAACATTCACATTCATTTAATTAATATTATTTAGAATTTCACATCCTTATTATTAATTCTTAATTAATTTAACATTTATATTCATTTAGTTAATATTAATTAGAATTCATATTAAGAATGCAGTTCATTATTTACGTTTATATTCATTTAGTATCTAGTTTCACTTAATTCATGTATCGTATTTGTCATTCATCTTCATTTATGCACTTTCACATTCAAGTATACATTTTCACTTTTTACGTTATGTATAATAATTGACATTTATTTTCAGGGATTTGTATTTCTCTCATATTTAGATCAAGATGGTAAATTGAGGGTCAAATATTACTTTCACGGCACTTATAAAAGTATTTCACAATAATGTGCAATGCACATTTAACTTTTACTAGTAGTTATAAAGATGTGATTGAAATATTTAACTTTGACAAAATTTAAATTATTTATAAATTGGTTGTCAAATTGAGGCAAAATTATATTGTTGGCTGCTTTTATCTTATTAGGTCGATTGTGTAGTCATTTAATGTCTAAATAGACATTTTTCATTTGGTGGGGATACCATATGTCTATTGTGAAAAAATTGGGAACATAAGTAACACACTTATGAAAGGCCGAGGACCTTGGAAAAATTTACCTTAAATTTTACAAACAGAAAGTTTTGAATGAAGGTCCTGAATCTTCCTTCATTTATGCATTTATATTCTTTATCCTTGGAGAATATTCAATCGTTGTGTAAAACAGATATGACTTGTGATTTATATCTTCGAAGCGGCCGAAAAGCTCTCCAATCGAGAGATGCAAAGGAAATGCAAAATGCATTTTCTGGCGGAAAGTGTTAAAAAATATAAATTTACATCCACAAGAGGTAAAGAGTGAATTTGGATATTTCCATTGGAAAAAATTTGAATTTAGATCCACCGAAATATAATGAAGATGCAAAAGTGGTTTTGGAGATACTAATTTACACTCAATCTTGCACTACCATTGAAAATTACCTATAACCCACCCAAATTCCTTCGAATGAGATTTCAACTCATATCAATCACTTGTAAAATTTCGCTCTTGCTACTTATCTGTAACTTTCAATTATTAATACATTTCTCAATGATCTTTTATTCCAAATTGTATGTTAGTGTGCTTTGATATTTCAAATATTTTGTCAAAATTTGGTATTTAGGGAAATTTTTATTTTATTTTTTTTGTACGAAATTGTTTCAAGACAAGAAATATTAATTTATAAAATATTAAGATAAAAATACAACAAAAAGAAGTTGAGGATATAAGTGCAATAATAACCATTGAGAAGCTTCATTCCTCACGTTGTTTGAATTCGTGCGAGTCCAAAAACCATTTTAAAAAAAAAAACCATCTTCTCTCTATCGGAAGTCGAGAAAAAAAAATGAAGTTTAGGGTTTTCTTTGTTCTCGCTCTTCTCATTTTCTCTTCATTGTTTCTACAAGGTATGACTATCGTGGATCTGATCCGTTTCATTTCGACTCTCTCAATGCTGCTTGAAATTTGGATCTTTTTTACATCAAATGTAATTGCTTATCCATGTCAATTTGCATCCTCATCCATTAACAATTTTGATTCGGACTTGAATTTTTTTGTTGTTTGGGTTTTAAGTTGTTGCATTCCGTCAGATCGTGGTTCTATTTTATTGTCTGTTTTTTGAGTGATCGAATTTGAGACACCTTCTGTTTGAATTGTGTTTGTTGGAATGTATCGTTTTCGAATTGTGTTTAGTTTTGTTAGGTAAAATAGGTTCCAGAATAAAACTTTTACTTTCTGAGAGAATCTGTGAAGAGAAAGAAAGATTTTTTCCCTTTTAAAAAGTTATTATGATGTGAAATATACATCCGGTTTGCATGTTGAGGTCAGAGATAATTACTCTTCAAAATGTAGTTCTTATGGAAACCAAGCATAAAGGTTGGAACACACCGGATTAGACCACATAAAATATATTAGGAAGCGTATTATGGTGGATTAAGGTGGATAGTTTTTTTTTTTCATTCAAAAAAATGTTAATCATCTGTATAATATAATGCAGAGCATGGATATGGGTTTAGACCAGATAGAAAACATAAAGTAAATGACATTTTTAATTGAAAGATCAAATAATATTATCCATCCTAATCCCATCTACGTAGTACATCTATTATAATGTTAAACTAAATATCTTATCTTGTCTAATCTGGTGCACCAAAGTGATTAATTATCTGCCATTTGTTCCATTTGTTTAAGTTAACCCAACTTGTTTGTGTCTCTGCAATGCTTGTTATCTTTTCCTTCTGTTGTATTAGCGTGCCATTTGCCTGTGGAGTTCCTTAATTAACTGGTGTGCAGGCATCTAACTTATAGATTCAGTTTCATTCTGTTTCCCTATTCTGAATGGTGTATTGGTTTCTTGGATGGATACTCCGTTAATTCATACATATTGTATCCGAAACTTTGATATCCACATTCCTTTTGTTTGATAGTTGCAAGAAGCGAATCAGAACCAGATCCGGATGTAGTTGAAACTGACGGAGGAGGAGATCTTGGGATTGTTGGGGAGGATGTTCAAGATTTTGGTGGTGGAAGTTTCAGTCCAGCTCCAGGAGTAGAAACAATTTGTGTTTTCCCCAAAAACCCCTCTAAATGTGAGGGTTCACTATTATGCTATTTTACCCTTGTAGTGTTGTTTTCTTCATTTTTTTGAAGCTTCCTATTCAAGAGATGTATCTCTAATACGATTTCCTGTTCAGTGGTTGTGGCTGGGGAAGAAGGTGAACTTCTGGTTGGAATTAAGAATGAAGGTAACACTTTGTTATTTGGCTGTATGATTTGTTGTTTTCTTTCTTTGTTCATCAGATATAGTTAGTGATATTGTTGGCCTTCAGCTTTCATTTTTTTTATTTTGCATATGTTGTTAATAAATTTATCTTTTAAGACATGTCCGAGTAATTGAAAGCATGTCTGTTTTTACTACTTGATATATCTATCATAGTTTATAATTTTTGTATTAGATACTGTCAAATATGTAGATGGATGATTTATCTTGCCACTTTTATGATATTAAAAACAGGGGAATCAAGTATTAATGTTATTGCAATCCAGGCCACTGTTCATCTTCCCTTTGATCACCAGTATTTGGTTCAAAATCTTTCAGCTCAGGTATCTTCTGTTTAATTTTCTGTGCATTATGTCTGTGCCCGTCATTCATGAACGTAACTATCCTTGATATATTTTCTGGGTCAGTGACGACATTTAGTTGTACAGATGGTCTAGTAATTGTATGCTTATCAATTTTGTGCAAAGAACTGTCTTAAATTTATGTGCACAATGAATGAATAATTTTACCTGTGGCATTGTGTTCATGGGTAATAATTCTCCTAATTTCGTGCTTCCAGCAAGCTGTAATTCAATGGGGCCATTACTGATATTCTGCAAGACTTGTTTAGGGAGTGACATGACTTTTAATTTCAAGAGGAACTGGTTGCAATTAAAGCCGTACGTGTATCACTGACAAAAGACGATGAAATGACCCTAAGTTTTGTCTTAAAAGGTCTAAATCTACGAGAAATTAAGAATTTGTCATCTGGCCTGGAGATTCTTGTTAATAGGACAAGTGTCATCAATTATACTTTTTTTGGTTATTTATAGTGTGTTTGATGTACATTAAAATGGAAAGAATACATTTTTATTTTTATTTTTTTGTGATGTGATGGTGAATATGTGTTGCAAAAGAAGGAAAAGTTATTGATGTGATGGAAAATATTATTTTATTGAAGAATGTATGATTGAAAATGAGTAGAAGAATGAAAATGAGAATGTGGTTCAAACAAGGGCTTATTTTGTAATTGTCATATCAATTTGAAACATTTCAACTTGGGAATTGCCTTTAGAATTTTAAACCATTTCTGTCTAATATAATTCTTGGATGACTTGTGATAGTAATATCATATTGCCATTTTCTAGGCTTTTAACAATGCTTCAGTCCCTCCTGCTGCCCAAGCAACTTTCCCTTACATATTTGCTGTGAGCAAATTTTTACAGGCAAGTGTAGCCGTATGGTTGAAATTCATTATTCAGGTTTATTCTGCACTGAGTATCTGTAAATTTCATGCACTGGACAATTTTTTCTTTATCTTGCAGACTGGTGCATTTGATCTGGTTGGCACAATTGTGTACGAGATTGATCAGAATCCATACCAGAGCACGTTCTACAATGGAACAATTGAAGTTACTGAGACAGGTGGCCTACTCAGTGTTGAGTCTGTTTTCCTGTTCTGCCTTGGAACTGCCCTTCTTGGTCTTCTTGGATTTTGGATACGTGGCCAGATAAAGAATTTCTCGAAGGTGACTGCATATTCCTGTGCTTATGTATTTTTTTTCCCCCCAGTACTGTTACTCAATCTACCAAGTGTATATTGATGTAGTGGACGATGCATGTTTCTTCCTAAGCTTATTTTTATCCATCTGCTTTTGAGAAAGATCTATGCCCATGTTTGCCTCAGCTTGTATAATTGATTATAATTTGGTCAAACATCGTTTTTATCCACACATTACAACCTCTACCTACTTTTGAAACACACATTCTTCAGAATCCGTTGCTTATAATCAATTACAAGTTTTGACAACATGGGCTAAGCAGTTTAGGAACTGTCAAAATCTTGTTGGTAGTGATTACTTAGTGGTGCTGCGTGTATATAGTGGCCTGCTTTGACAGTGAATGTTGGCCAGAGATGATCACATCTAGTGTTTGGGATTTAACATTAGAAAGTCAAACAACGTTCAGTCCGAGTTCTACCTAGACTAGAGGACTGATCAAAGCCTGATTCGGAAAAATAATACAAAATGGAGGAAGTGTGATTTTATTAACTCATCACCTTCTGGATATACTCTTCACGTGAATCTATACGTCCCGCTAAAAAGATGCCAAATAACGAAATGAGAATTGGTTCACCAACATTCATTTAGTTAACTGAATTTGTAACAGACCTAATCTATTGTTTTAACTCCCTTTTGTTTTTGCCTCCTGAAAATTAGAAAACAAAGAGAGCTCCCAAGGTGGAGGTTGGAACCGGAACTACCAATGCCTCGATGGACGAGTGGTTGGAGGTTCGTATTTCTTGCACTGATACACTTTTTCTTCATTTTTTCTTCATTTTTTCATTAACTGTCACTCTGAGGTCCTGTATTTCCACAGCAAAGGAAAAATCTGTCTGCAATGTTTTTAATACTTGAAGAAAATGTTATGTTATATATGGAGACTAAAAGATTTAGTGACTAAATTTTCAGGGAACTGCATATACTCAGTCTCAATCCAGCAAATCAAAGAAGAAGAAGTAGACAATCATGCTCGAACAGTCCACTGTAGGCAGCAGTACAATGAGGCAATGAATTTTCTAACACAGGTTAGGGGGCGTGACGATTTGAGGAATAGCTCGAGTTACCTACCTGACTGTTGTAGCATTAGGAAAGAACATTTACATTTTCTGTTAGTGGCAATTCTGAAAATCGAGCCATTTTATATGCCGGACCAACTGAGAGTTGTCGAGTTGACATAAAACGTCGCAGTTTTGTTATGTTTTAACATGGTGTTTTAGATTATATGCTCATTTTGTCAAATTTTTCAACTCTTTTTGGTTTTTGTGAGGTAGATTTACCTTGTGATTCGAAATTGGAAACTAGTATTCAAATTTTTTTGTCAGTGACCATTAAAAATTGAACTTTCTACGTACAAGTGAATTATGATCAAGTTGGTTACTAGTGTCAATAACTGATGATAGGTGGGCAAACCAGTGATATCTATCCCGACATGGCCCAGTGAGGAAAACTTATTGAAATTCATTGGCGTAGCCATAAAAAAGATAAATTAAACTCAGTCAGTGCAAAAATAAATCATTTTGCTATCTGTATCTGACTACTTGGCCTGAAAACGGCTTCATTAAAATTTTAAATTGGACCACCACATTATACAGCTCTACATGTCTTCATTTATCCTTCTCTTTTATTTATTGCAACTAAATTCAAATATAAAGGCCTCTCCTTTTTTAACAATATCTTTTTATTAAATATTTTTTTTTTCCATTTAAATTCAATCTCGCTAATTTTGTTATTATACTAAAAACACGTAAATTAGTGGTACTTCCAATAAAATTTTGGCATTATAATTGATAGCATAAAATAGAAATTTGTGAAATGGGTATGAATTTACATTAATATTTTTGGCCATATTATTCATTTATTAATTTACATTTTTATATGAATAGATACACAATAATTTTTGTGTCGAGGCATTTAAGAGGCTACTATAAATCATATCAATAATGTAATATTCAACCACCTCACCTATTTTAGGTCCATGGGGAATATAGTTGGATGGAGAAATATTGCCCACATTTTTCCAAAAAGAACCTCCTATTTTTTATGAAGAGAATGAATCTGTTTCTTGAAGGATCAGAAAAAAATGGGTCCGGATCTCCTGCGGGAATGATTTGGAAGATCCAAAACCAAAAAGAATCAATTCAAAGCTACAAAAAGGTTTTATAAGATAAAAAAGGTCCGTCGAGCATCTCATGGTGACTCCCAAATTGAAGCCCAAGGCTTTTTTTTTTCTATATATTTGAAATCATAGGAAGTGTGTGTGTACACATATATACACAAAGGTATCTGTATCATATGATGAATTGATGATTAAAAAGTTGTTTATTTTAATGAATATGACCCTAAAATGTGTCCGAGTTTCACATAATTTTCAAGCATATTAGACTGACCAACTATTTTTTTGAATAAACATACATTTGTATGGTGTTGGAGAAGGTGATTAATATTATCATTAGAAAGCAAATATGTTCCTCAGATGTTTATTTATTAGTCAAATCAAGAAATATTTGAATGTCATTATCTAGCTAAAAGCTCGTTTTGTTGTCAACGTCATAATCAAATCTCAATTAATACATTCGTTCAACAACTTCGTCTCTACTTTCCATAGTTTGCTCACAAGCATTGTAGATTAATAACCAACATATTTGTCTCCAACAGGAATGATCTGATCTTGCCACCTTATCGAAGGATAAGATATCTCCTGCCCACTATATACAAGAAATCAGTAATGTCGTCTCCAACTCTAAAAAGGCTCAATTTGATTTCTACAGTCAATACCAAGTAGTAATTACATTTGGCTAACGAATTCGAAAGTATTATTGAGAGAGACCAATTAAATCATTAAACAAATAATTTAATGTTTAATCTGATTTCTTAAGAATTAGTCCTTTCAAAAGAAAAGCAATAAATAAATCGTAAATGTAATTTTCCACCAAAGTATTTATGCAAAGCATGCATACTTAGTTGGAGTATCTATTTCATCTTTCCGATCTCCCAATTATAGTGAAAGCACATGCACATTTCGGTGCTTCTCATTCAACCTTGATTCATAATTCAACACATTAACTATGTTTGGTGCAACCACACACAAGAAAACGAAATAATTTCAATCCCATTAATTGTATTTGCACCAGTGTTCTAGATACGTCTAGGCTCGATTTGCGGCGAAAACGTCAAGCCAAGTGGTTGGCGCCTGCTAATGTGTGCCTAGGCGCCATTATGGTGCTTAGCGCGATTATGCATTAATATCTTTTTTTTTTTTTAAGTTAAAATTTAAAGGTTTATTTATGTTTGAAACTCATCTCTTTGTCGAAAACTTTAAAAAAAAAAGTATAAAGTCTCTATAAATCTATTTTAGATATTTGATATGCATTATTTTTAATTATTAAATGATTTTTTGATTGATTAAAAATTAAAATAATATTAAAATAAGAAAACATTTTTTTTACGCATATACTTCGCCTAAACTCGTCTATCTCATAGCTTGGCCTTTGTGCACCACCTCGCGTTGCTCCTTGTAGAACATTGGTTTACACCCACTCAGTTATATTTCCGCTTTAAATAAATAAATAAATGCTTCAATATCATTAATTGATTTTATAAAAAATATATATATATTTCCATTTGTCAAATTCACTAATAAAATTAATATTTATGTTAAAATCTAGAGTAATAATTTATTTATTTTTAGCAAGACAATGTTCGTCACAACGTATCACCGTGAACAGCAAACGAAAGAAAAATCGATACAATAGACTAAAAAAACCAACCAACACGTAAAAGCTCATGGACCAACTTATTACCATCTCCAAGAAATAGAGTGACAAAAGCAACATCTAACATCAAACAAAATTTGAGGATAGACTCTGAATGGCTCGAGAGAATCACATTGTGCGCTAAACCAAGTTTTTTTTGCCATGGAAAGTCCCTTGCCAAGAGCCACACCTCAGCGTCTTCAATTGAGTAATAAAATTTTTAATAAAAATAAAATTAATTTTGATAATGAAACTTGAAGATAAATAAAACTTTTATTATTATTATTTTATTTTAATCTTTTAACACAAATTATTAGTGTTTATGTACATTACAAATTAATGGTGCCGACTATCATTAACTAGCATGGAATTACAGTTTTCAAAGTTGATATAAATGTACTTATCTTTTCTGCTTCCCAACTGTGGGATTGCAATAACTCAATAATTGTAAAGTAAAATACAACCCCATGAAACTTCCATAATTCCTGCTGTGAAGCTGGCATTTTCACACCTTAAAATGTTTTTTTTAATTTTAGACGAAATGGTTCAACATTCGACTATGTTCGTCATTGTTTATTAAACGTGTACACATGACATGTCTTAGACGAAAAAATGAATCTGAAAATTGTGCACGTTGAATCTGATTTGCACGTGAAAGGACATTTTAGAACTTTTAAACGAAGTGGGTCGAGAGTGATTTCGTAAGGCAGACATGGATTTCATAAAGTGAAGATAGATTTTACTGAGAGGTGGAAAAGAGATTAACAGAGAGAAAAGACAATTGTGCAGTTGCATCCTCATTATTTCAAAGAAAATAATGGCCTTTATACACCCCATTTTCTCTGCTAAGATTTTTTGTTTCATTTGAAGAGATTAGAAGTCAAGTTCAATGGAACCTAACCTCGTGTGATCACATTAAGTTCATTGTCGGCATGATCATCACAAAATTACTTCCCTAAATCATTATATATAACAAACTTTTCTTGCACTAAATACTCACCAAACAAGCTTCTTTACCTGGGGCTTGCCATTCATTCTTGGGCCATTTCTCTTCTCTCTACTGTCTTCCGGGCTCGGCCTTAGAAGGTCCCAATGCGGGTTCGTTCGCTTTGCCGAGGGGCACTTCTGGGCTTCTTCGTTTCCTTGTTATTTGCAGCCAGCTTCTGCAATGGGGATGATAAGACCATACAGGTTGTGGGGGTGGGAGAATGTGCTGACTGCAAGGAGAACAACATTAAAACTAGTCAGGCAGTTTCAGGTACTATACATTCTCTTTATGCACTTCCAATTGTATGACTATCCAGACTGACACTCAATCGATAGAAAAATATGATATTCTCCCGTAGTGTAGAATCCATCTTACCACCAAGCCAGTGTATTCTCGATAAACCAGTGTTTATACATAGAACCGCCGTATATGTAAAACACAATGGGGGTTTGCAATCTTTTAACACTTCACCAACTTATTCACAAGCTTCAAAAACTAAAGGGTTTTATCAAATATATGTACATGTTCACGCACTGCAAAATGTTTTTAGATATTGATTTTTCTCTTCAAGGATTGTCATACGTGGTTGATGGAGGAAATTAAGATTTCATTTGCTGCAAACTAGCTAATTTATAAGCATTCATTTTTTGTAGGGCTTAGGGTAACCATTGATTGCAAGCTTCAAAATGGAGAAATAAAAAGAGTGGGAGTTGGAGAGCTTGATAAAGAAGGAAAATTCAAGGTTTCAGTTCCTGAGGAGATTGTTGAAGATGGAAAACTCAAAGAGGAATGTTATGCACAGCTTCATAGTGCATCTGCAGCACCGTGTCCAGCACACAATGGCCTCGAGAACTCCAAGGTTGTCCTGAAGTCGAAAACCAATGGAAAACACACCTTTGGCCCCAATGGAAATCTCAAATTCTCCACTGCATTGTGCACTTCTGCTTTCTTGTGGCCATTTTTCAAGTATCCACATTTGCCAAAAATCCATCCGTGGAAGAAACACTTCCCTAAGGTTTACTTTCCACCACTGAAAAACTTCGGCCACCCTTGGCCTCTTCCTCCATTCCCACCAGTTTACAAAAAACCACTTCCTCCCCCAGTTCCCATTTACAAAAAGCCGCTTCCTCCACCAGTCCCCATTTACAAGCCGAAGCCACTTCCTCCGCATGTTCCCATTTACAAGCCAAAGCCTCCAGTAAAGCCGCTTCCACCACCAGTTCCAATCTACAAACCAAAGCCAAAGCCACCAGTTTACAAACCTCCGGTGGTAAAGCCACTTCCACCACCAGTTCCTATCTACAAGCCAAAGCCACCAATTTACAAACCTCCGGTGGTAAAGCCACTTCCACCACCAGTTCCAATCTACAAGCCAAAGCCACCAGTTTACATCCCTCCAATAGTAAAGCCACTTCCACCTCCAATTCCAATTTATAAACCACTCCCACCATTCTATAAGAAACCATGCCCTCCATTCCCCAACCTTCCTTTCCAACATCCTAAATTCGGATTCTTCCCTCCCCTCCCTCCTTTCATTCCTCAACCATAGAATTTCCAAAGGGGGTAATTATGAGTAGGTTACTTTGTTTGTTTCATTTCATGTACTTAAAAGAGTGAAAGAAATTAAAAATTTCCATTTATAAAATAAAATTCCGAGGTTCGGAGTGAAAAATAAAAAATAAAAAATTGCCCAAGAAAACACTAGCAACGTAGAAAGTGGAAATTCCTCCAGTTTTAACTGCTGTGTTGATTAGCATGAAGTTTTCCTGTATTGGTTTGTTCAATTGGGGTGGTGATAAGATCAAACGTTTGTAATTTTTTTTTTTCAAGTTCATATCCATCACACAAGTTTCGCACCATAGATTTGCATGTGGTGATATTAAAATCACATTTAATTATCCTATTGTTCAAGTACAGTAGTGTTCAAGATTGAATTTGAGATGGTATTTTCAAACTTCATAATACATGACATTATTAACACCACCATGCAAGCAATGATGTCTCACCTCACTGCTATGCCTTTGGCATGAAAAAACACGTAAAAGTACCTTTTTCGAAAGTAATCAAACTTTTGATCCAAAAATCTGAAAACAAAAATTAATTTCTAAAAAAGTTTAAACATCTTTGGCTACACGCGGTAAAAATCGAGATTAGGGTAAAAGGTACAAATACAAGAAGCCTGCTTCTTAAGAAAATACAACAGTTTTTTCTGAAAATACAAAGAATGGAGAAGGATAACGTACCTGAATTACAAGCAAACACAAAGAACCCTCCTTTTCAATAAACTGACCATTATCGCATTCAAACAGGCTCAAATTACTGTATTTCCTGAATAATCAATTGGTAAAACTTGTGAAAAAAAAATCAAAGAAACAGTTTAATATTGCAAAAATATAACAATTCAAGTTCTTCTTTGTAAGGAAATAAACTCAAGAATCAATGGAAGCAGTAAACATATTCACTAAGAATAAACCAAGATTTAACCACACCAAGTAGTATATCAATTTACAGGGCTCAGAATATTCACAAAGACATTGTACCCGTCTGTACAAAAGGAACAAGCCACAAAGACCACAAACCCTAACCCAAACCGCACAGAGCAGCTACTACAATGGTTCGAAGACTCTACTACCAATCTAACTTCTCTAAGACCTCAATCGAACAATCACCAAGACTAGAATCACAAAGATAAACAATATCACAAAGAATCGAAAGAGGGGACAGAGAGAACACGAAGAACAAAAAACCAAAAGCTTTCTCGCGCTAAGCAAGCAGAACAAAATGAATAACCACACGAAAATGGCCATCCAACATCTCATATATAGGTAGCCACACCACCGTAGACTAGGCTGAAGATCCAACGGACCAGAGCAACACACTTGGCATTTTAAGTTGGGCTGGGTCTTGGCCTTTTTCCTTTTGAGTTATTGGGCAATGGTTTCTCTTCAAAACATTTCCAGCAGTTGGGCATAGCCCATTTCATCATTGCCCCAAAATGGTTAGAAACTAATGTCACAAATGGCATCAAATTCTAACAAATCTCCCTCTTGATGCCAATGCCATAAACCACCAAACACATTAGTGTTTCATAACACCAACACCAAGAATGTCACCACCTGCAGAAACACAAAATTCACCCAAAATTAATTCTTAGAATTTGTAAGCAATATTTAAACTTGGAAAGAGAAAGTACATTTGTTCCCATATCCGCGGGATTAAATTGTGTAGGGATTTTCTCAAACAAAATAGATTCACATAACAAGCTTTTAAGTCACAAAGACTCTTTTATAGCTTCAGTAGTAGATAAGACAATAATAAACTACAATTGAGACTTCCAACTAATGCAAGCATCACACAAAGTAAACACATATGCAGTTATAGATTTCCTATTGTCCTTATTACTAGTATAATCAGAATCTACATACCCTTTCAACACAACACCCTCTTTACAAAGTTTAAAATGAAATTCTAAGTCTACAAAACCTTTTAAGATCCTTTAAAAAAAAACATGTTAATGCTGCCCAATGTACAAGACCACGATTTGCCATAAATCTACTTAAATGCCAATAGCATATGCAACATCAGGACAAGTACACACCATAGTATACCTAACATATCCAAAAGCATTAGCATAAGGCACCTTTTGCATGTATTTAATATCAGATTCATCTTGTGGACATTGTTCTTTACTCAATTTAAAATGACAAGCAAGATGCAAAGTATTCATTTCAAATTCGGCACTTAAATCCCTCTTAATGTCATTTATATCATTCATTTTATGTCCAACCAACAATATATCATCAACGTACAAAAGTAAACAATCACATCATTCTTATCATTTCTTCTAATATAAAGACAATGATCAAAGGTAACTATGCACAAAGCCAATAGAAGACACATAATTGTCAAATCTAACATTACCTAGGTGATTGTTTCAAATCATACAAAGATCAATTAAGCAAACAAACATGATTAGACTTTTTAGAATCAACAAAATCTCGAGGTTGTATCATACAAATCGTTTCATCCAAGTCACCATGCAAGAATGTAGTTATAACATACATTTGTTCAAGTTCTAAAACACATTTAGCAACCAAAACAAACATGACTCTTATAGTAGTATATTTCACAACAGGAGAGAAAATATCATAATGATCAATACCAAGTTTCTGAGTAAACCCCTTTGCAACAAGTCTAACCTTAAACCTATGAAGCTCTTTAGAAGAACTACCATCCTTAATACTATAAACCCACTTACAGTCCACCAAGGACTTATCCTTAAGTCTGGGAACTAATCTCCAAGTACTATCCTTCACAAGGGACTTCGTCTTCTTCCATAGCACCTAGCCACTCAGTAGATTGTCGA